TCAGGGCAAGGTCTTCTTGACAATGCATCTGCATTGCCATGAGATTTCCCGCTGCGATGTTCGATCACAAAGTCGTATTCCTGCAGTAGTTCAATCCATCTCGCAACTTGTCCTTCCGGATTTTTGAACTGCAATAGCCATTTCAGTGCAGCATGGTCAGTTCGTAAGTGGAATTTCCGCCCTAGAAGATATTTGCTAAAATGCTGCAAGGACTTTACCACAGCAAGCAATTCGCGTCTTGTGACACAGTAGTTCCTTTCCGGCTTTGACAATGACTTGCTGAAGTACGCTATCACAATCTCTTGGTCACCATTCCGTTGAGACAACACACCGCCAAGTCCTATATCACTTGCGTCTGTGTCAACTATGAATTCCTTGCCCGCATCAGGGTACCCCAAAATAGGTGTTTTGCACAGACGGTTCTTGAGCTCCTGGAATGCAATATCGCAACTTTCATCCCAGCAGAAATGTCGCTTCTCCTCGGTTAGCTTGTGCAGAGGTTTGGCTATATCTGCAAAGTTCTTCACAAATCGCCGATAATAAGAGCACAAACCCAAAAATGCTCTAACCTGTGTCTTGTCTATTGGAACCGGCCACTCCTTGACAGCGGCAATTTTTTCTGGATCCGTGCGGATACCTTCTTCCGACACTACATTCCCCAAAAAACTAACTTGCCGTTTGAATAGTGAGCACTTCTTTGGACTCAACTTGAGGTTGGCACTCTGGATCTTCATGAGCACGCGTTCCAGGTTTTGAAGGTGTTCCTCAAACGTACGGCCTACGATGATGATGTCATCCAAATAGACCAGACAGGCATCTCCAATTAGCCCGGTAAGTACAAGCTCCATCAATCTTTTAAACGTTGCTGGAGCATTGCACAATCCAAACGGCATGACTTTAAATTGCCACAGACCCTTTCCTGTGGAGAATGCAGTTTTCTCCTTGTCCTTAGGGTCAATTTCAACCTGCCAGTAGCCACTTTTCAGGTCCAGCGTACTAAACCACTTTACGCCTGTGAGCATGTCCAGCGTGTCATCAATTCTAGGCATCGATTCTAGGGATAGCTGTCCTTCTTCGTAACGTCGTTCAGGCGGCGGTAGTCAACACAAAACCGCATGCTGCCGTCCTTCTTCTTTACCAGCACCACAGGTGAACACCATGGACTAGATGAAGGTTCAATAACACCATCCTTCACCATTCCCTCAATCATGGTTTCCACTTCCTTTTCACGTGCTACAGGCAATCTTCTTGGCCGCTGACGAATAGGCAATTCTTGTCCTGTGTTTATTTTGTGTTGAACTAAGGCAGTCTTTCCTATGTCAGCTTCGTTTGACGAGAAAACATTGGCGTACTTGAGTAACAACTTCTTCGCCTTGACCATTTCATTCGGGGAGAGAACGCTGCGACAGTCTTCTAAAAGTGTGGTCACTCTCGTTTGTCCATCCTTGCTAGGGGTCCCGGTCGATAGATATTCGCACCGACGCAACCAATCCACTTCCTCACTAGTACCGACCAATGTGCCTTTTTCTATAATCTGTTCCTGATCACAAAGGTTCAACACACGTACTCCTGAGATGTCGGTGGTTCTGACCAAGGTTCGAGCCACTTTCCATGGAAGGTCATTGTCTACCCTTTCCACGAGTACACAACGATGAACTTGCCCAGGACTCCGAGGAAGACTAACCGGCACAATCGTTTCCGATCTCGGCGGAAGAACAATCTTCTTAAGGCTGTACACATTCCCTGGTAACGCCCCTTCCATGAAAAGTTCCTCTTGTCCACATTTCAAAACACCTTGCTTAACGTCGATCTCACAACAATTCTTGCTCATAAAGTCTAGGCCCAGGATGCAGTCGTCCATTATATCAGCCACGATGACATTATGCAGGTAGATCATGTTGCCTAGCTTCAACTCCATCTCCTTCTCTCCACGGACGGGTATGCGCTGACCAGTGGCTGTCACCAAATTAATGCGTTCTCGGTTGTATGCGGAGTCCCCAAGGAACCGACTTATAAGTTGGGAACTGACAACCGTGCGAGAGGCTCCAGTGTCTATGGTCAGTTTACACGGCGTTTCGTTGACTTCGCCCTTGATGATCAGGCTGTTCCCATCACGGGTTTGTGAGATCGAAATCCTTGGGGCTTTTTTAACATCAGCCAGCACCCGCCAGTTTCCCTGCTGCTGCTGGGCGGTGCTATTAGCCGCACTACCCTCTCGAGATCGATCACCTTCCCTTTCTACAGTTCGCTTAGGGCAGCTGGATCGAAGATGGCCCCTTTCTCCACAGCCGTAGCACCTAGGGCTGTAGCTTTTATTGCGGTCCTGAACTGTAGCTGCTGCAACCTCCCTGACGCGGTGGGACGATGATCCTGCCGCACGGCTTCCACCTCCAGTGCATGGGTCAAGGCGTCCTTAAGCGTCTCGTGGTGCCCGAACCTCACAGCAGCTCTGACTTCAAAGTCGCGGATGGCGTCGATGAATGTCTGCACCAGGTTCCCTACAATAAGCGCAGGTACAGACTGGTACGCTTTTCGAACCAGCTTCTCCACCTCAAGGGCCCACTGCTGCAGGTTTTCGTTACTGCGTTGCACGCGATCTTTGAGCTGCGCACGAAAGACGTGTTCCAGGTGAGCGTCGCCATATCTCGCCTCCAATGCCTCAAGGAGCTGCTCGTAAGTCACTTCCTTAACGAGAGCTTCCAGAACAGTTAAGGCCTGGTCGCGCAGGCTTAGGGTGAGAGCAGTCATGGCCTGACTTTTATTCCAGCCGTTCGCTTTCATGACAGCCTCGAACTGGATTTTGTAGGCCGACCAGGAAGAAGTCCCGTCGAACGGTGGCACTTTGAATCCACGTAGCGAAGATATTGTAGCTACCACGGGAGCTGTAACTCCATCCCCAATTTTGAGGACGTTCAGCGTTTTCTTCACGTCAGCCATCACGTTGTCAACCCGATTGTACACTTGGTCGATTCGGGTTTCAGCATCCGACAGGCGGTTGTCATATTAAGCAACCTTATCTTTCACCTCACTTATTTCTTTCCCGAAGGTAGCGTGAAGGTCCTTCATAAGAAGTATCTGCTCTTCCTTATCGCGTTTGAGCTGCTCTTCCAACCGACGGCCCTGTTCCTCCTGTTGGCGGGCCTGTTCCTCCTGTCCGCGCTGCAGCTGCTCTTCCAACCGACAAGCCTGTTCCTCCTGTCGGCGGGCCTGTTCCTCCTGTCGGCGTGTCCAGATGCAGGAGCTGCTGACGGGCCGGCCTCCGTGGTCGGCAACTGGCCCGCCGACGTCTGTGACGTTGCACCACCAAATCGTCTCTGGTCCGTCTCCTGTTGGCGTTGACTTCGGGTACGGATACCCTCGGTGTCGTCTTTAGGTAAAATCGGCATATTTGATCCCACTTCTGACACCAATTGTTACGAGCTTGAGGTTCGAGACAATTAAAAACTGCCGATTGAATTACCAAAATTGACACTTTAATTACACAACACTAATTACAATCTAAAATCACACTAATAATAAAACACAGTTCGCCGTTATTTCGCTTCGAAGTATTCTCTTGTATCGCCAATTCAATACTGCCTCGGTCGTGGTCTATACCGGCCTTATATAGGGCCTCAGATAGTTTCCAGAATCTTCTACTGTAGCGACATCTAGAATGTTCGAGTACATATCGGTCCCGAAATTTCTGGAAGGATCTTGACTCTCCTAGTTCTGCTACTCGACACTAGAGGGCGCTAGTGTAACTAGTGTTGCCATGTACAAGACATTAATAGTGGCGCGCAATACTTTCATTTACTCGACACTAGAGGGCACTAGTGTAACTAGTGTTGCCATGTACAAGACATTAATAGTGGCGCGCAACAATACCAATCCCCTTTGGTAACATTTGTTCAGTGGTACGTAGACACTTCACTAATCAACACGCTCAACTTTGGAAAAATCTAGACTGTAGACAAGCTAGGGAGGCCCTTCCTGAAATAAACAGCTGTTTAACCAAGGTTCTAATGAGACAGAATAAGCCGCAGATCAGGATAGTAACAAGTGCTATCACATGACATGGTACCTTTAACAAACATATATTTACCATAGGTGTTACGTACAGTCCCCTGTGCAGGGCATGTATGGCGGAGGAAGAAACGGCGACCCACGTATTGCTGACATGTTCGGAAGTCACTGCATACAGGGCTAAACATTTCGGCACACTGGGATCACTCCTCGAAGTTGCTTGCAACATCAAGGGACTGTTGGAACTTCTTCGGGGAGATTTCATGGCTCGAATAAATACATTATTCCTGCCCACACGCAAAATATGCGTTTAGATGTAGAGTTGCAAAACAGCCTGTTTATTCAATTCCTTTTTTAATTTAATTTTTTTTATTAGTTAAGTGTTAAATATGTTTGATTGTATATCGATGAAACAATAATTTTCTGTAATAAATCATGCATGAAAACAATGAGAAAATAAATTTTACCAGAATTGAAACCTATCAGGATTGATTTTTTACAGTAAACGATTCCATTACATATTACCTACCTATACTGTAACCATTCCATTACAGCCTTTGAAATTCTATTGCGAAACATAGGCTACTCCCATAGATTACCTCATAGGGGGGGATTTTACCATAGTTGCCACACTGTGCAGGCAGTTCGACAATCACAATTTTTATTGTTTTAAGTAATCAAAAAAACTATGACTTCATTAGCTGACATTTACATACAATAAACTTTATTTCCACTTTTAAATGACCAGAAAGTCAAATACAGTATTAAGTTTATTATTATATTACTCACAATATTTGCTTAATTAATCCATTGGAATGCAAATAATTGTATTATTTCTTAATCAGGAGGTGCATTTTCTTATTTAACCATCATAAAATATATTTCTTTTCTTTTGAACTCAAACTTGCGAAAGAAGGTTCCATGAGTAACTGTATTATTGCGATAGAAAAAAAAAATTATAACATTCGAATTGTGTTAATATATTTGCATCTTACCAAACATGATCAGGCTCCAAAACCTTATAAAATCGGGTAACAAATGTAGCGCCACATAGGACCCCGAAAGTAATCCACCAGCTGCAAGAAACAAATCAAATACTTATTGGATATTTTTTACTACTATAATTAAATAGCTTTTATATTTTTATTGAATTTGAACATTATTTTAATATGATAATTTATTTTAAAAACGTCCAAATACAACAAAACTTTAGTTTTATTAAAATTAACTTCAGTACATTTTATTTCCAGCTGTGGTGATAGTGCTACTTTTGTTTTTTCCAGTCATGATTTTTTTTAACTTTATACCATTAAAATAATTCATTAATTTATGAATAATTTAAATTTAATAATTTTGAAAAGCTTTTATTTATAGGAAATTGGAAAGTTGGAAAGTAACGGTATTGTCAAATGTCAATCATCAAAGTAGGGACGTTCGATGATCATCGATGTCAAGAATGAAAACATCGATGTTTTAACATCGATGTTGTCACATGTCAAACATGGAAACATCGATGTCAATAAACTCATAATCGATTATTGGGTACTTGCGAATCCGCAAAATCAATATCAACTAAATCTTGCATTTCCTCTAAAATATTTAAAATTTTGAATAATTCAGAATGCTTGAACGCATCGATAACCTAAAAATATATCATTATGGGGTATCAAATTTAACTGTCTATATATAACTATATATAGTTATATATAAGACATACCTTAAACCAAAACCTTAAAACGAAATTGTACAACCAGTGCGTGTTGCCAGTGATGACTTACGGAACTGAGACGTGGTCCTTCACTGCTGGCCGTATGAGGAAGTTCAAGGTCGCTCAGCGAGCTATGGAGAGGGCTCAGAGTTTCTCTGCGTGATAAACTTAGGAATGAGGATATCCGCAGTAGAACCAGAGTGACCAACATAGCCCAACGGATTAGTAAGCTGAAGTGGCAGTGGGCCGGCCATATAGCTCGAAGAACCGACAACCGATGGGGAAGAAAGGTTCTCGAGCGGCAGCCTCGTACCGGTAGGCGAAGTGTAGGGCGTCCCCCCACGAGATGGAGTGACGACCTGGTAAGACATGCAGGAAGTCGATGGATGCAGGTGGCTCAGGACCGTGCTTTGTGGCATTCTTTGGGGGAGGCCTATGTTCAGCAGTGGACTTGTGAAGGGCTGTAATGATGATATATAACTATAATGTCACAGTTGTCACTGATTACGTTTAGCATTGGTGTCGTTGTTGGTTATCTGTTTCTTTATTGGTTGTTTCCAAAAAAAAATTGATCTTAAACACGATCCAATGCACGTTTAGAACAATGTTATCGGTTCTACCATATAAAATTAAAAAGAAAACTTGCGGTGATATATTTGACCACAATCGCTACATCAGCGTGTTATCTACCGACTTCAAAAAGGATTAGGTACTAAATTCCACTGTATGTTCTTTTTTTAATGTGTGTTACCTCATAACTTTTTTCTGGGTGAACCTATTTCGATGATTCTTTTTTTTATTTGAAATTTGGTGCTTCACATGTGGTCCCATATAAATTAGACCCATTAAACTTTGACCAAAATTTTATTTTTAAATTATTTTCAATAGCTGGCTCAACTCTTTATCAACAAAGAAACAGATTGAAAGGTACTTTTTTGTCAAAATTACTATTTCTTCAATCAATCAGCAAAAATATTGGACAATATAACAAATGAATTAGATATTTGGGAACTTCTTCCAATTTTTTTAATTACTGTTTTATACTACATTGTTTATTAATTTCTTTTATTTCATTAATTATAAACCATAAACAACATGTCAATTTATTTATTCATCTAATTCTTACCTATTAAATACATGTGAAAAAAACATCGATGTTTTGAGTAGGATAAGCATCGAACATCGATGTTGAGCTGTCAATGTCAACATCGATGTCATCATATGTTTCTACAACATAGAGCATCCCTGGGATTCTGCCACAAATACTATGGAGTGTCTACACTCCATAACAAATACTAATACCCTTAGGCGGGAAGAATGTCAACTTCAAACAAAGAAAATGGCACCCATAATGCACGCCATCTCTGTCGTGCCCCCTAAAACTTTTTTGCGCGGGAATTTTGATACATGATTTTTTTTAGTTGGCGTCTTGGTTGTTTCGTTTCAAAAATGGCTTAAGAATGTAAAATACCATATAGATAGATATAGCTTGTAGTTTTTCGTTTCAATGATATATATTGCTAAATTAAAACGAAAACAAAAGCACAAAGTTATTTGTATATTATGGTACTTTACATTCATAAACCACTTTTGAAACGATTAGCAATCATTTTAATATAAAAAAGGAACTATTTTTCAAGTAAAAGTGGTTTTTGAAATACATAATTTTTATTTACATTACATACTTGTCTACATTGGTACATAGAAAAACCGTTGGTATATTGATGGACGTAAGTGACGGAGTAATTAACTAATTTTTAACTTTATGCATGTAAACAGTTCTCAACAGCTCTTAACTAAATATCGATTTAATAGTTAAGTAGTTATGTAAAGCAGAATAGTCTATTTTTAAGAGGTAGGCGTGTTTTAGCGAAGTATAAGAAATAAGCATTCTCGTAACTTCGCTAAAACACGTGTCAACGATTATTAGTTTATAGTTGATTACTTCATCACTTCACCTATTAAGTAAACGGCATATGTAACATGACATTTAAGCAAAATGGAAAGTAAAGGTACATTGGTTTTATATAAAAAAGATTAGACAATCTAATATAAACACTTTTTTCTAACAAGAAACCATTATTTACCTTCACATTCTACAAACAAGGCAATAGCTTTGCAATATTATGTCTAAACTCCAATAACCTGATTATATTGTTGAGACTGTAAGGTCTAAAAAAATTTTCTTAAAACACTCAATACCCCAGGGTAGCGTGCTAGGCTGTTTGTTGTTTTTAATATATGTGAATGACCTTCCCAATATATGTAATATCCCCTGTGTTCTTTTTGCTGATGATATTTCATTAATTCTCCCCTGTCCCAATAGCACAGATTTACACCATCTCCTAACCTCTAATTTAAATGTAATAAATTGTTGGCTCCAAGATCACAACCTCGAGATTAATTTCAAGAAGACTAAACTTTTGCAATTTAGACCATACCAAAAACGCCCCTTACATATCAACTACCAATACCTAAATATTCCCTTAGAATCTGTTAACTCTCACTGTCTCCTGGGTATAAATATAGATGCACATTTAAATTGGAAGGAACACATTAATAAAATTGTCAAAAAATTATCTAGTTTTACGTACGCTCTTATAGAACTTAAAAAAACCACCGACTTAAAAACAGCAACCTGTGCCTACTACGCGTACGCAGACGCCTGGATATTTTTTTTTTTGGAGTTTATGGCCTGGTATCTAGACCTTTAGGCCAAGTCTTAAGTATTTTTATTCGGTTTATTGTAATTTCCCCACTCCTTTATATTATACTGCTTCACAATATGTTGATGCGTCACATTGTGCAGTTCTTGGGAGATTTTGGCGGCAACTTGATCCAGCAGACAGCTGATAGTTGGCGATGGTATCTAAAGGTGCCTATGCAAACAAACAGCTTATCTTGAGAATCCATCACCATCAGAGCACTTGTTTCACTGTTTCCACTAATAGTTCACATGCGTAGACACTTAATACACAAAATCGCAACACTTTTACATATCAAAGTCCACTTCAAACCATTATTTAAACAATAATACAGGAGCAGCAAACCGCCGCCGGTCAATTTCCCGCCAAAACTCCAGAGACGCCTGGATACGCTACGGTACGGTGTGGTACTTTGGGGTAACAGCACAGACGCTAACAAAGTATTTCTAATTCAGAAAAAATGTATTCGCATACTTGCAAATATTGACTCCATAACAAGTTGTAGAAATTACTTTATCAGTTATAATATCCTGATATTAACATCCCTATATATATCCGAAATATGCTCACTAGTTAGAAATAATATCGACTGGTTCCCTCAATATTTTCGCCCTAAAAATTTAAGACCAAAAATAAAATTATCCACAGTTACATCAAAATTACAAATCGTAAACACCGGTCCCTATGCCATGTCAATAAAAATATATAACAAAATTCCAGAACAAATCAGAAGCATTAAAAGCATTAAAAAATTTAAAAAGGAAGTTAATACATATTTAACGAAATAATGTTATTACTCGTTGCAGGAGTTTTTTAGTGATTGAGTAGGAAATAGGAAATTGAAACAAATATACAATATAATATGATCCAATTTATATTTAAGTTAATTGTAAATATTCACTAAATGATAATTTTATAATACTATAATGTGAATGTAATAATAATATTAATAATTGCCTATATTTGCAGTGCCCTTGCAGGGCTCTTGTTTTGAACATTTTTTTAAATATAAGACCAAATGTACAACAAGAATAGCAAATAAATTGAATTGAATTGAATATTATAGATGCCACCAATAATATTACATTTGTAGAAATTATTTTCGTTATATTATTGTTATTGACTGCAGATTCGTTCTATTCCATTGATGGACCATATCCAACCTTCTTGGGATGGAGGAGCTCGTTTGCATCCCAAAAACGTCATTTCTTTAAAAAATTTCTTCATTAAAGTGAAATGTGTGAGATGTGGTGTATTATTTGTCATGTTTGTCGAAAATGGTTTCCCACTTCTTAGGTCTGGTGTGCATGCGTTGACACAATCAAACAGCTTGTCCATATTTGCAATAACATTAGCTGTAGTGACGGCCTCTGAAGAGAGTTCCCCTGTAAACAACACATAATTTAAGATCTTACAAATACATTTGGAACAGTTATAGTCTTCTGAATAGTTTCAGACAGTGGTTGTTTATTAGTTGATGGACCTGCAATATGTTGAATGACATTCCTTTGTTCCAAATTAAGGTCAGCTAATGTGATCTGAAAATTAGAGATTATCAAATCATTATTAATATCATGTATCCCAGCATTGGTCAACCAATCTCTAAATTTCAAACAGCCTTATAAATTTATAAACATTAAATACAACTTGTTTTTATTAATGAATGTTGCTCTAACCCATTACGACCACCATCCTATTTTTAAGACACTATATTAACAATTTCTTTTATTTGTAAATATATTTTGTAAGTAACTAAATTATAACCATATCATTTAAACAACATTGACAGCTCGCAGTGCAGTGGCTAGCATTGAGTTGCGGCACTAAAGGTCACAGGTTCGAATGCTGCACAGAATAAGTATTTGTATGGCCTA